CATGCTTTCCCTGTTTTGAAATTACTTGAAAAAGTCGACGATCCATAGAATTTGTTAATTGTAGGATGTCATCTGTTGTAATACCGCGAGATATGTCAAGAATTGCTTCCCACAACTCAGCGTTGCTCCTGAATTGTCGTCCGTTGGCGTACGGTCTTCGCTTCATGATGCTCCAAAGGTTTTCGATTGGGTTCAAATCCGGAGAATTTTCTGGCTACTTCATTTTTCGAGGTCCATCGAAGCCTAACTGTTTCAAATATTTAGTAGTCTTGTGAGCAGCATGTGAGGGAGCATTATCTTGCATAAAAAACAATGGCCCTTCTGAAGACAACTCTTTGACTTTTCATCCACGGTTAAAGATGCTCTTTCATAAACTCTATGTATGCATCAGCAGTCATTTTGACGCCATCTGGTACTCTCCATGGGCCCACTAATGTGTTTCCAATAATACCACCCCATATCATTATGCCTCCACCGCCTTGTTGGCGTCTCAAAAGCTGATGGCGATTCTGTCCATTCATTACCCAGCCTTTGCACCATCTATCTGGCCCATCAAGTGTTGCTCGAGTTTCGTCTGTGAACAAAACTTTAGAGAAGTCAATCTTCATATTGTCCTCGGCCCATTTCCATCGATTTTGAATGTGATTTCTCGTTAAAGGAAACTTCGATACCGGTTTGACTGTTGTTGCTATTTCCCTCAGATACAGACACCGAGTACTTTTAGACACAGTAGGATCCCCAATACGACTGAAAAGCTCTTGACTGGTAAGTCCAGGGTTCTTCGTGGCCTCTCGTTTAAGTTGTGACATGAGACGACGTGAAATAACCTTCGGCTTGCCTTTATATGCCCTTTTGCGTACATGTGTAGGATCGGCGGTGAATTTTTCACTGTTTTATGACACTTCGCTATCATTTTAAAAATTACTAGGGTAGATTTACCTTTTGAGAGTTCTGAGGTAATAGTTTTCTTTTCAGCATCACTTAAACTGCTTTTACGGCCCATCTTTTCACTAAATTCTTATACTTTTCTAATAATTTGGTACGCTCAAATCACCGTGCTGATAACAAATATGGTTCCAGTTTGTTTGCATTGCGCAGATCAGTACGAAATTTTCAGTGATTGCGCAGCTCAGTGTTGCCAACATTGTGTGAAGATTTTGTGTGAATTGATTGGACGGTTTTTGAAATATTAGAAAAAAGTTATCTCGATAATAATTTGGCACGCAGTGTATATGTGCATGTATGTGTTTATATTTAATTTTTCTGTTTTCTTGCATTCTTTCTCTACCTTTTTCTCTATCATTGTTTTCTATATTTCTCTCTCTCTCTCTCTCTTTCTCTCTCACTCTCTCTGTTGTCACCATCTGTTTTTTTCTTTCTCTCTTTACGTATTACACCTATATATAATGATACATAATCTGACACAGGGCAACAGTATAAGAGCATCAAGTTAGCACAGAACAACGTTTCTGATATGTTATGCTCTTTAAGCAAAACGAGTTTGCTAATCAGTAGGCTACGATAGGCGCTTCGGTATTTACTAGGCTTAATTTAGTTCGATACAAGATCGCATTAGTTAGGTATTTCTTTAGAATCCAGTTCACTACATTGCAAATCGAGCTTGCACTGCAGTAGATTCTCATTTTCTGCATACCCGTTGTCATCTTTCATATTCAACACACGTTTCCCTTGCACTTAACTTCACTAATTCGGAAAAAAAAAAAGAAAAATTTATGACTCAAGCTGAAGAACTTTGGAAAAACTCGATTTGTCCGTTGCGAGGACAATTTTATTAACTCAGTATTGAAAACATGACAGGCACGTCAATGGAATCCTTTCGTTAGTTTTATTGCATATAAGACGCTCATCTTATGCATTTATTTTGCCTTCATTTTTAACAAAAAAATTCTACAGTTTACTTAAGATAACGCAACAATGCTCCAACATGGAGTCCTGGTTAGCAATCTTATGTCTGATAAACTATTATGACTATAGTGAGTTCGATCCTGACAGAATACCCAAAATTAATATTCTCGTTATAGACTAATAAACTTTGTAAATAATGGCACCACATACTACTGTAGTCAGTTCGATTCCTACAAAGTCTCTCCCCTGGCTCCCTTACGCCATACTAAGCTAAGCTTAGTAAATGTCTATGACCGTCCTTATGAATTCAAGCAGCAAAATATGTCCTACATTCATAAATGTGGGACATATTTTGCGCGACTCTTGTCGTTTCGTAACTTTTCATACTAATGTCATATGTGAGGAATTACCAAGATTAAATTAAGTTTGGCATAGGGCCATAGCTTATTGACAGTTTATGAAGATTAAGCTTACAATCAGTTGATTATATCAACTCTGTATATAAATCATCGTTTTCTAGGCCGACAGTGAAGCAATAATAATAGAATTCTATTTCTATTTTTATACTCATTGCGTCATTACATCACAAATATCTAATGATTTTCACAAAAGGTCAAATGACTGTAAATCTACTCCGTAAAACAGTATTCTATTTCGTATTCTTTTTGTCTTCTGGAATGATTTTAATTCTTCTCTTCATTACAATCTTCGGGTCATTTCCAAGCATTCCAATAATTATGGCGCAATTATTACCTGCAAACTATTTTTATTTTTTCGGATAAGTTTCAAGCATTTACTTGACCCAACTTCGGAAGAAAATCGAATATCTTATTGTTGTTTGTGTTTATATCTTTAATCTTTAGATCAGGTTTCTGCTGTTGAGTCTAGTTTTTTCAAACACTTTCTTGTTCTACTGTAAGATTTTTTTCCTGAATTTTCTTTTATTTGATTCTATCTAATTAAATCCGAAATATTTGTAAATGATTTCAATGTGCTGTAATTCTTTTCTCCCTTATAATCTCTCAGTTGCCGTTTGTGCATCACCAAGAGTGCAGAATTTTCGATTTCGATCTCGATTCCAGTCTCTTCTATAAACATTACTCAAGTGATTTTACAAGTGACACAATAAAATTATATTTTCATTTACATGTGCCAAAAAATGCAGTTAAACGACATCGTAACTGTCAGGAACGTAACACGGTCTTAATTTAACGACAGTCTAATTTCAATTTACGTTAGTGAAATTGCTGCTATACCTTTGTAACGGGATTCTTGTTGTGGTTTCTACGTTTGTGTTCATCTTTCTGTCACAGGTTTCTGTCTGTCTATGCTGGATCACATTAATTAGTACAACGATTACCGATTTAGATTGTGACGATGTTTCTTTTACTCCACTCTTAACCGCGAATGATATGGCCTGAAAGATTCACGCGGTAAAAGCATTCGTTGTCGACAACAACGATAAGTTAGTCCACCTACCCTTGAGATCCTGTAATCGGTAAGGGCCGTGTAATTTTACCAGAAGTTGATTGTATTTATTCGAAAGTAATAAAAAGACTTGATCCCAACTTCTGAACCAACGTCTCTTACTTGTTCAACCAAACGACATTTTATTCTCTAAGCATGGAGAAGTTTATTTTGTTCACCCGGAAGAAGTAACAAGACTTCATTCAAACTTCTGAACCAACGTCTCTTACTTGTTCAACCAAACGACATTTTATTCTCTAAGCATGGAGATGTTTATTTTGTTCACCCGGAAGAAGTAACAAGACTTCATTCAAACTTCTGAACCAACGTCTCTACTTGTTCAACCAAACGACATTTTATTCTCTAAGCATGGAGATGTTTATTTTGTTCACCCGGAAGAAGTAACAAGACTTCATTCAAACTTCTGAACCAACGTCTCTTGCTCGTTCAACCAAACGACATTTTATTCTCTAAGCATGGAGATGTTTATTTTGTTCACCCGGAAGAAGTAACAAAACTTCATCCAAACTTCTGAACCAACGTCTCTTGCTTGTTCAACCAAACGACATTTTATTCTCTAAGCATGGAGAAGTTTATTTTGTTCACTCGGAAGAAGTAACAAGACTTCATTCAAACTTCTGAACAAACGTCTCTTACTTGTTCAACCAAACGACATTTTATTCTCTAAGCATGGAGAAGTTTATTTTGTTCACCCGGAAGAAGTAACAAGACTTCATTCAAACTTCTGAACCAACGTCTCTTACTTGTTCAACCAAACGACATTTTATTCTCTAAGCATGGAGAAGTTTATTTTGTTCACCCGGAAGAAGTAACAAGACTTTATCCAAACTTCTGAACCAACGTCTCTTGCTCGTGCATTCAGTCGGCTTCTTTTTCTAGATATGGATCAATTTCTCTTTGGCTTAAACCTAAGCACTTGTCTAGCAATCTTGTTGCATGTACTTATATTGGGTTGAACAAAAGGTTTGTTTGTTTTATGAAGTTCTTTACTTAATAAGCGAATTAACTTTTCGATCAATCCAATAAACGTCTTTCGCCTATTTTTCTTCAGTACAGTGTGCCCCAAGTATCCATCAGACCTGAGTGGTTACACGGACACTTCTTTCGTACAACAGCAGTAAAGAATGAATATCCTATACTGATCTAAACGATGAAGATGAGGATTTAAGTCAAGATAATATGCGTAATTATGGCAATACTTAATATCAGGATAACAGATGATAAGAAAGCCAAAGAATACATCAATCGAAATACAACAGTATGAACATAATAATCTCAACACTGTGTTTGGTGGGATATCGATCGCCACTATTTTCATTAAATAATATTACAGTTTTATGGAATTAGGTGAAAGACAAATACTTGTTTTTTCCAGCGTCTGGTTAAAAATTAATCTATCAGACGCTTCAATTTGGAATTTTAGACTTCGGAGATGTTTCTGGAGTAAAATACAAGAGTTTAATATGCCATCGAATATGTTCTGGATGGAATTGATGTTGTTAAACTAATGTGTGAATAAATATTGAAAGATTAAGAAAGTAATCACGTTTTTCTGTTTCCTTAGGAAATATTTGCTCCGATGTCTTTCTAAATTACTTTTAATTGGTAATCATTGAATCTATTTATAGTTTTAAGATATGATATATTTATGGGTTAAATGTGCTCAATATCAGGAATAGAGCAAATATCAGGAAAGATGAAGCAATGAAGAGATGAATAAAGTAAGAAATGAAGAGAAGGAGATAAAGAAGAAAAAAGAAAAGAAGTGAAAAAGGAAGGAAAGAAGAGAAAAAGAAAGCAGGAATGAAGAGACAAAAAGAGAAAAGAAGGAAGGAAAATGGTGGAAAATAAGCAGTGAAGGAAGGAAGGAAGGAAGGAAGGAATGATTCAATGATTGGAAGGAAAGAAGAATTTATCAATGATTGTGTTAGATTTTCATATACCTACCTGTCCAAAAAATAGATCAGTGATATTTCATTCATTTTTTTTGCCTAGAATTTTTAATTTGCGACACTAATAATTTTATAATAGACACAAAAGAATAAGCATAAAATCCAATCGAATAGTAATTATTTTGACCATCTTTATAATTTTCCTGATGTTCACCCGTGGTAATTATTGAATCTATTGACACATAGTCGTAAGGGATGCTACATTTAAGGGCTAAATGTGCTCAATATCATAAATTTAGCGTATGTAAATATAAAATTAAACACTACTGTCAACACCGAGCAACGAAAGTCTGTTTCATGCTTGAACGCCATTTTCAGACACGGCCTGAAGAGGGCGTTCAAGTGAGAAACAGACTGTCACCGCTCATTGTTGACCTCAATATCTACTTTATATATATATATATATATATATATATATATATATATAAGAGCGAAAATAAAGAAAAATGGAAAACTTAGCCGACACGTTTCGTCCTCTGAAGGATTTTATCAAGCCAAATGTTGCCTTGATAAATTTCCTCAGATGTTTCCTTGACAAAGTCCCTCAGATGTTGCCTCAGATAAAGTCCTTAAAATGTTTCCTTGATAAAGTCCCTCGTAGGTCAAAACACGTCGGCTAAGTTTTCCTTTTGTCTTTATCTTTATTGTCTTTTCCCAGATATACTCTATAGGAAATTTATATATATATATATATATATATATATATATATATATATAATCGTCCTGTTCTTGACTGCCATTCCACAAAGCTATCGAATTTGTTAGATTTGTCTGACACTCCATATTCATAGACGCTGACTTGTCAGTCCAGCTATTTTCTATTAACCGGGTCAATCCTTCTGACTGTTAATTACCCTCATGAAAGACATGTTCACCATAAAAAAAACACTGCAATGACTAGCAATCAATTCAGAATTATTTTGCAGAATTCAATTTTGTTATACTAAATTAATTGAAAAACTACTTTCATGTTCACTCTGAAAACTTTCCATCTGAAATTTTTAGTATTTTTTTTCAAAACATAAACGAAAATTTTGTGCATTTGCAGAAACTCTGCGACCATGTGATATGCTCTGCTAATTGGTAAGATAATGCTATTACGCGGAGGGTATATTTTTGTTGAAAATACAAAAACTGATTTTGGCCTAAATCAGCTTCAAAAAACTATAACTAATGCAATATTAACTAAACGTAACCTTGAACTGCTTGATAATACAGAATACAGTAAATATATGAGCGTTTGGAGACACAAGAGGGTTTTGGGGGGGACACCTAGATTGGAGACACAAGAGGGTTTTGGGGGACACCTAGATTGGAGACACAAGAGGGTTTTGGGGGACACCTAGATTGGAGACACAAGAGGGTTTTGGGGACACCTAGATTGGAGACACAAAACCCTGTTGCACCCACCTAGATTGGAGACACAAGAGGTTTTGGGGAAAATCGTTAACCATAGACTCTTTAGATATGTGACTTTTCTAAAAGTGTTTAAACTGAAACAGTGGTGATTATCTGATTCGCAGAAGCTCTACGGTGGCTTGAAATGTATTACCAGTTTTCCGAAGATCATCGGTACATGTTTTAAGAGTCGTGTTTGCAGGGAACTTGGAAAATGTTAGGCGGTATATTATTCTTGAAATACAAAAATAATAGTTTCTAGTAGTGAGAAATAATGTCGGATTAAAAATCCAATAAAATGTTTTAAAAAAATACCGCGAATTATTTTTAAATGCAATAATCATAAATAATAAAAGATAATGTCACTTTTCTGTATTTTTCATTGTTTCTTGTCTACGCTAAAGAAAATGTTTCAATGAAATTGACATATGAATACGGTCTGAAATCGAACGTGAGTTAAAAATAAGCGGTTTAATGATATGGCCATAACGACAACTTTAGTCTTCTTACACAGCAAAGTAAAATGAACTTACAAATATTAATTTAGGCAGTGTACACTTACCGTCGGGCGAGAGGAATTGGTTTGATCTTAGGCCTTGTATACATATACTACATTGATTCTGGACAGAAGAGCTGAGTAATACGAAAAGAATCTATTCAATTTTTACGGGTATTATGCTGAAAGCTTAATGTAATATTTAGTTAATATTTAATGAATTGATGAGTAAATATCGTTTATTTTCTGTAATCTTACTGTGTGGAAAATTTATCAAAGGCGAAGATACCCACCCATTGCCCGGTATTTGGCCGAATGTCTATAACAACAGGAGAAAAACGTCAACTTTATTGCACACATTGTGTATAAAGTCTCGTTTAAGAAACGTGAGTGTGTTTTAGAAACGTGATAATCGAACACACACTGTTCCGATTAAAATTAATTACGAGAATAAAAACAGAAAACGAAAATGTAAGCTTATTAACAGCTTGACTCATTTTCCTTGCAATAAATAGACATGTCCATTGTTTCTATTTTAATCAAGTGAAATCAATGGAGATGGGGTAAAACAAGGAGATCTTGTTACACTGCATTCTGTTTTCATCTGTGAAGACGCAGAGTTGATGTCTTTCAACAAACGTGGGGTAGTGGTTAATGAGCTATACTTGCAAAAACCATTTGAACTCTGCAGTGAGTTCGATCCCCTATGAGTGTGACACACTTGCATGCCATTGACCTAAGCTTAGTAAATGCTTCGGCCAAAAACAACTGAGTCATAATTACTGAACAAATAACGAACAGCTCATTATTCATATTTCTATTTCAGTCGGTTCATGCCTACAAGGTGCTGCTGAAAAGTGTTCGTCACGACCCACTTCATAAAATCTGACCAAAAGACCAGATTTTAGAGAAATGGGATGATAAATTCTCATTAACTCGGTTGAGTGAAATTATATCTAAAATGTAAATTCAAATGTAAATCGTTTGACAACAGAAATCAATAAGAAAGTTGTTGTCACGGGTCAGGAAGGAAGATATGACTTATTGACTGAATAGAGTTATTAAATGTCTAACAGAAAGAGATCGCGAATAGTCAAGAATTAATACAAGCGTGATTGTCAAAATCTATACTATCATGAAGGAAAGAGAGTGAAATGTTCTTAGCTTGACCAAAGTAGAAATGAAAATAAAACACTCATGTTTGAACATTTACTTAGATTTGGGTAAATGGATCCGGCCGATAACTCTTCAACACTATCTTCTGTATGTATAACGTAAATGCATTGTAATTTTTTTTATTATAGAAATGCATCGTAAATAATTTTACAATAGAACTATATTGAAAATAAGAAATATAAGAATTTTCAGTGATCAACAAATTATATAGAAAATGATATAGTAATTAAAATAATTAATGTAAATAAAAAAACTTGTGATAAAATAGGGAAAATTGTGGTCGATATTTTCAGCGTAATAGTGTGATGAGCAGAACAGACGGCTGGCATTTCGATTAGAGCGAAAAACGAAGCAAATTACAATGCAAGACAACAAAAAAAAAGAGTTTGTATTGGTTTGGTCTCTGCTGTCATTTACAGGTTCAAGTTAGTGCAAGGTTTAAGAAAAGTCAGGTTGTGATTCTCGCAGTCAGAATTTATTAAACTTTCTTTCTCTTTTTCTCCCTGTCTCTGTCTGTCATGATTTAAATTTCTCATATATATATAGATAGATAGATAGATAGAGAAAGAAAGAGAGAGAGAGAGAGAGCATCCGTTCAGCTTAAAGCATTAAGTCATTGTGTACTGTGAATGTATAATCGGCTGGTTTAAAACCTATAATTGATTTTCGAGCCGCCAACTGGAGTAGGAGGGAAGTAGGGGTGAAAGGATGGTTGAATGGAGGAGAAAAGAAAAACGAAGACGTAATAAGAGGGTCGGGGGTGTTAACAAAATGAAAGAAGATATAAAGAAATAGTAGGAGAGTGAAAGGAAAACATTAGGAGTGTTGAGAAAGAACAAAAGAAAGGAAGATTTAGAAGAGGAAGCGAAAGAAAGAAGGAAGAAAGAAAAACGCAACAGAGAAAAAAGAATAAATAATGACAGAAAGATATAATCAATGAAGAGAAATCAAATGAAGGATGGAAAGGAAGTGGGAAAATGCGAAGAAAAATACGAAAAATATTTTTAAAAAAGAAAGAAAGAAAGAGAAAAAAATTAAATGTATTGAAAATGGCAATAAAAGAACAAATAGCAAAAGGAAAAGGAGAAAAAATAAAAATAAAATCAGCAAATTAAGACAAACCTCGGTAGGGATAGGAAGGAATGAATGAATGAAGGAATGAATGAATGAATGAATGAATGAATGAAGGAAGGAAGGAAGGAAGGAAGGAAGGAAGGCAGAGGGGGGAAAGGTTATTACTTTTTATAAGACAACTTTAGAAAAATCAAATCAGTTTAACTTTTTAGAGTGAAACTGAAAAGAGCAACATTTAGAACGCACTACTGATAATAATCTTAATAAATGTGTGCCATAGTAATTAATTGCATTGTTAATTGGGCAAATGTCATAGAGATTTTATCAAATCCTGCGATGTGCCGTTCCGTCCGTCCACCTTGTTAGATCAAACGCATGAATTGTTTCGTTAGGCTAGGAAAGTGTAGTGGTTGGTATAACAATCCTTTCTTACTGAGGTCGTTATTTTCGTTTTGCTCCAGCAATCTAGCTTAGATTTTATATTTGTTAAGTTTAGATTAGTATGGCACAAAGCCTCAAAAATGATGCACCCATGAAGATGGAATCCCTATTGTATCACATTACTTGGCAGGTATCTGGGAATAGATCTTAAAAGTGAGAAATGTCCCGTCATCGAGATGGTTGTAATCGCAATTTATCGACGTTGTAAACTGTAATTTGTTTTCATTTTTATTGTCCTACTAATAGGCATAAACAAGGAGAGGCTCTTGGGAAAACGGAAATATTTGATTTATACTAAAACTCAGATCTGACTTCAAAAACAACGAAATGGCAAAATTTTGGGAAACTTAGGAGGCACGGTGGAGTAATGGATAACGGCTCGGATTGAGGAATCGGAGAGCCGAGTTCGAATTCCAGTCGAATCCATTCGATACCCATACTGATTAGCCTTGGAAAAGGTATGAATCCTCTTCTTCTCCCTGCAACTATGGGTAAATAGCAGGAGAGACTGCGTTCTATAGCTTTGGATGGCAACTGGTCTACCACAGAAATATATATATATATATATATATATATGTCAGTGCCTATAAAACATCTAAAAAATAATGTGATGTACGAGCCTCAAGTGGTTCACTCGTACCTCAAACATCGCTACACTAACCTGCTGACCATCACTGTACAACAGGCGCATCTAATTTTATCACTGCAAGAAGTTCTTATATCAAAGTCGTTTCAATGTTTTGTATATTTGAATAAAGTGTACAGATTCTACAGGCTTTTATTATTCCGACATTTTTCATCTCCATAGAACTTAATTTATGAAAAATAAATTTTGCAAAAGCACCTTGTATATGGGGTGTGTGCATATATATGTGCATGTATGTTCTGTTTGCATATGCGTTTGCTTGTAATGTGTGCCGTTATTTGTATGTATGCCGTGTGTATGATAGATAGATAGATAGATAGATAGATAGATAGATAGATGCATTCTAGTCGTCTGATGGTCGAGAGAGAGTGAAATTCGAGTAGATGCTAAGTGTTGATGCTGTGAAGCGTTTTGGTTCCGCCTAGATATTCTAGGCTTTGAGCTGCTCACTGGATAGGTAGGTGTTTGCCTTTGGATTTTCTGGTCTAAGGTGATAGTTTTTTGACAAATTGTCTGTTGGTTACATCAACATAGTTGTTTTTTTCTTTAGTATATATATATATATATATATATATATATATATATATATATATATATATATATATGCTAAAAAAACTTCGAAGAACAGAGTAGCTTTTGAAACAAGGTCGGTTTAATGTGGGGAGACCGAGCGCGTACACCCGGAATGTAACAAAATTGTCCGCAGTCCCCGCAACCGTCGGTTGCGCTGGCCTCGGTGCGAGCACTGATCTCTCTCTCTCTCTCTCTCTCTCTCTCTCTCTCTCTCTCTCTCTGGTGCAATGAGAGAGAGAGATATGATTACGGATTTACTTACAGAGACTTGTACATATACTTTCTACCAACCCGCATTCCTGGACTACTAATCTTCACTTCAAGTCTGTATTCTTACGTTTAATAAACTTATTTTTCTATCTCAATTACTAGCGTTGTTTATTTATTTGTGCAGGATTCCATTCACAGAATCCACAACACTTATTCTCTATGGAAATGATAATAGCACTTAGCATTCTAAGAGGAAATTTCACAAATTCGAAACGAATTGTTCATTACTCCTGGGATTAGCCGTCAAGAGCTTTTCTATTTAACTTATTAAAACTGGAAACTTGCAAAATTTTATGTAGTTTCTCTCTGTGTTTATCTTGATGCTTAACTATCTATGTTATTATCTATATCAGTTCTTTCCTTCATATCTATCTATCTATCTATTGACGCAGAGAAAAGTTCATGACGACCATAACACGAGAAAATAACACGATTTCGCTAAAGAAAACATAATTACACAACGGAAAACAAAGGCTTATTATTATTATAACCGGTTTCAACCAAGTTCATGCGAAAATCCCTGTATTTCGCGTGTGAATATAGCAAATAAAATTACACTAAAAAATAAGCATCACTTCAGCGTCAGTTTACATAACCAAGAAAAGAATATACTTACGAATATTAGCATCTAGCAAGTTAAAGTCTAGATAGAATTGCTGGCAAGTGCGACCTTGATACAGTGTAATCCTGGTCGTGTTTGTCTCGTGTGATTGAGAAAAGAACTCTCAACCAATCTGACTTCCATTTTCCTCGAGATTGGATCCAACATCAATGCAATTTAGTTTTTTCGTCAGCCGGGTTAGTAGTTTCACATGTCTACTAAGAACCCATCCGTCATGTTACCTGGACAAGATGTTACCTCTTGATATATAACTCCCATTTGTTCCACAGATGCCGTAAAATACTCGGCGTGCCACCGCGACAAATGTTTCATGTTAAGGATTTTTTATTTCCTGGTGCCCAATACTATCTGTATCGTGTAATTTGGGAGGAAATGGGAGATCCCAATACTTCATCTTTCTTTAGGAAGGGATCACTATAACAATCTCTTAGATTAATGCAACCAATCATGTAACATATTTAATTAAAAATAAATAAGATCGTTAGCTGGTAGCAGTTTTGTGTATCCATTGATATTGTGTATGCCAGTAATGCATCGGATTAAAAGATGCAATTCGCCAGTTCATACGACGTTTTGCTCTGCTTAACCATTCTATTTACAGAATTGATTTCGCTATGACAGGAAATGTTTGCTGATGAAGTATAAAAAGTGAAATTAAAAAATTGCCATTTTTAACATTGAAAGTTACAATAGGTTTCAAACCTTTAAGGAAAACTTGCAAAACTGCATGTTGTTAACAAGTTATTTTTGAATGGATGAACTTTTGCTGCCTAAAACAAATATTGTATTTAAAACCTCCTCAACAATAGCAAAAGATTGAATTAATTAAACCAAGTTTACAAAATCTGTTCTAAATCAGTGCACCATTCAATGGTTTTCGATTCATAACAGGATAATTTTGCTGCATTCACTTCAGATAGATGAATACAAGTTCATTTTTTTTACCTTTTATTTTATATCACACTAGCAGGCATTGTCCGCTCGTTATTGCTTCGCAAAGTAAGATATATTCACTACTTGAAATCTTTGAAACAAAAAATTTAAATGAACATTTCATTCATAAATTGGCAGTTATAGTTAAGGAAAGTTTTACAAATAGATGCCAACTTGTTGAAGGCCAAGTAAAATGCAAACTTCAAACACGTTTCTGCCCTATATAAGACGATATTCCTAAACAGAACTATTTTTTATATGAAAATCAAAACAATCCTCGAATAAAAGAACAGTAATGAAGGACAGTTAATAAATGAAATAAACTTTTTTTAAATCAATATGCAAATTAGTTAAACCTGAAAAGTGACATTGCCTAGAAGCAGATAATATATAATAAATCGATATTGAGCTTTTAGTGTGTAAGCTGCTCTCTTGAATGTTTTGTAGTACCCTATTTATCACCTCTCAGTTATGTCTCTGTCTTTTGACAGAGTGCGCTCAGGGGCGGCTCCGTAGCACCAGAGAGAGGGGTCGTTGCTCGCACCGAGGCAAGTGCAACCGACGGTTGCGTGGACTTCGGACAACATTTATTCCTGACCCGGGTGTACTCGCTCGGGTCCCCACCTTAAAAACTGACCTTGTGTCAAAACTCGTCTTAGTGGGTAGACAGAGATATATGCTTTCACTTCACACGGACGTCAAGGATTTCCGGCCTTACTTCAATATACTATATGCAACCACCACTAATTAAGAACATCCTGTAAATAAAATTATAGTCAGCTTTTTTGCTGTACGTCTGACAATTTTTTTAATATTTTAGATTGAATAAGAAGCTGAACTTCTATAATCTTTAATGCTGATCGGCGCTTGAAAAATTTAACGAGTGCCCCCAGCCGTCCTCTCTTAAATGGCGACAAATGAATAAAACTAGAATCGAGAAAAGATAACGTATTGCATTTATTGCCTTCTTTCATAAAATAACATCACAATGCATTTATATACTGTATTGTTTCTTGTTTAGTCTCATTGTATTTTTAGTTTTTTCAGTTTTGCATTCATAGAATAACACGTCATTTTTCCTTCGATGGGAAGAAATGATTACAACAAATATCACTTGATGAAAGTGGCAAATAAGCAAATCAGCAAAAGAAAATCAAAATTATTTGGATTGTTTATGCTGATCCAAATGTCCCAAATGAATGAGAAAAATGAATGAGCAAAATGAATGGCTCAAACGAATGGTTCAACTATATGTCTCAGTTATGTGGCTCAATTGAGTCCAATTAAGCAAGTTAATTAAATAATCATATTAAATAACTCAATTAAATGGTCTGAATAAATGTTTCAATTAAATGATGTCATGTTTTAAATCAATAAAAGAAAGCAGTACAAATTAATTTGTTTTGATGTTTCGTGATTAGGCGCGACTCATGGTCATATGACATTGAACCATTGGTCAGTACTTAGATGGGTGACTGCTTGGGAATACCCAGGTGCTGTAAGCTAGGATGTGCGGGTGGTGTAATGCATAACGGTTTAAGCATAATGCATGTCAATGCACTTTAGTAAATATTAATCACATCTGAATTAAGTGAAAATTAATCACATCAACAAAAGACAGGAAGTTGTGGAAAGCTATTATCGCTCACGCACTGGAAGATGCATAGCATATGGAAGAA